GCTGATGAGAAGCCAAGGACAATGGCACGGGGTTTTGATCCTATTTCATGTTCCGGCTTGGTGGGAGCCTAGCCAGTTTGGATGTTCACCTTCCTAGACATGGACGGAGGGGGGAGGACCTTGGACTTTCCACAGGGCAGGGAACCCTGACTGCTCTTTGGATTGGAGAGGGAGGGGGAGAGGAGTGGGGGGAGGGGGAGAGGAGTGGGGGGAAGGGAGAAGGGTGGGAGGAGGGGGAGGGAAATGGGAGGCTGGGAGGAGGCGGAAACTTTTTTTTTTCCTTTTCTCAATTAAAAAAAAAAAAGTCAGTGAGATCGCAATGCAGTTGTAGGAACCCCAGAGAAGGACCCCCAACACTCTTGCCTTGATCCCCTGTTCTGCCATAATGCCCAGCATGCTGCTTGCAGACATCAACTCTAAAGTGGGCGGGGCAGCGGGTGCTAGCTAGGCAGGTACTCAGAATTTGATGTCTCCCCCACTAGCCTGGATGCCAGCACAAGTGCAGGTCTGGGGCACAGCCCCAGTGGTGTCAGTGTATGCATGGGCAGTGATGAACAAAGGGGTCCTAGACCTCCCCAGGTGTGCATTGTCCCATCACCCAGCTCCCTCCTCCTCCCTGTGGACTGTCAAGGACCCTTTGAGAGGGAAACAGCTTCCTTACCTGAGTCTACCATGGCATAGAGGTAAACGTTGTAAGTACCGCTGAGTGGCTCCGAGCTATCAAACAGACACAGAGGTTTCTCCAAGGCCACGGTGGTGAGGGTGGGGTTATTGGTGGCAAAAGTCACGCTGGCCAGTTGGGGCTGGAGGTTCACAGCTGGTGAAGGCAATGAGGGTTGGAGCTGACCTCTGGGCACATACTTGGGCACAGGCATATCTGAGCACTTACTGTGTGTCCTGCCCTGAGCTTGGCCTTCCTGATGGGCCAATTCACGAACTTCTCTCGGAGATAATCAGTGCTGCTGTGCCCACCCTGCACATCCTACCCCACATCCCTACCCACCCAGCTGCCCTCTGTCTGCCTCTATAAAGTCTCTCTGTCCCAGGACCTTTTCCTCTCCACCCCACCAATTCTTCATTTGAACCCTCCACTGTAACATGCAAACTGCATCCATTTTCCTCCCTCTAGGACCCTTGGTGACCCCAGTGGTCCAGTCTCTCAGGAAAAACAGTGAGGTCCAGAAGTTCAGGGCTCTTCCATGTCTACTCTCAGATTCAACCCCTGCAGGCTCCCTCTAACGCTATTCCAAGATGGGCCATCCCTCCCGCTGCAGTGACTTGTCCCTTCTCCCCCAGTCCAGGGGTAGCCACAGGACTGGGTCTGCTCACTGCAGTATAATGTTCTCTGGCAACACCCCTCAGGGGGTTGAGGCCGGCCCATGGAAGCTAATACCTATGTCCCTATTGCTGGAATCCTAGACCTCCTAAATAAGTTTCCTAGTGCCACTCCATGTCTCCGCTCACTCCTCTTGGCCCTCCCTGGACGCGTCATGGTGTTCTCATCCCCCACTTACTCCAGCCACACCGCAGGCATCCGAGGGCCAGCAGGGCCCAGAGCAGGAGCATTGCCCGAGATGAGCCTCAGCGAACAACAGCACTTCAACCTGCAGAGCCACTCCTTGCCCTGCACAACCCTGAGCACCTGTCACCAGCAACAGCAGGGCACGCCCCGCCCCTCTGGAGCAGGACAACTCGAAGGCTCTCAGTGTTGTATTTGCATATGCCCTGGGCTCCTCCCTCCAGTGCTGTTTTGGGGACCTTCAACCAAAAAGCTCTGGACTATCCCTGCCCCTTCCCCAAAACTCCTACTGCGTGCTGAAGCTGAGCTGATGCTTTCACAGTGGTCTGAGACATCCTCATTTTCGGAACCTCAGTTTCAACACTGTAAAGTAGAGGCACTAATTTCGACAAGCATGAGCTCATACTATGTGCCAGATGCTGGTAAAATTATCACTCGTGAAAAAATTAAGTCCTGGATGATAGTTCTTTTCTGTTCTCAGACCATGCAAGACAGGTCCAGAGAGACAAGGGCTGCTTCAAATGATTGGAATAGAGCCTTTAACTCCTCACTGCTTCCTGAGAATCAGTGGACAATAGTGATGGTGGATTGGAGTGCAACTCAGTGGTAGATGCTTGCCTAGACCAAGTAGGACCCTGGGTTGTCCCCCCTCCCCCAGCAGAACTGAAGGACGAGGGAGAGAAGAAACCCCACTCTTTTTCTTGGCGCCTCTTCAGCTGATGGGTCTGTCTAGATGAAGCTGAACAGTCTTCCTAGCCACTGTTGTCAGAACTTGTTGACAATGAGAAACACATAGTCCCAGAAAGAGGGCTGATGCCCTGGGTGAATAGTGGCTCCCAGTCTGTGGTGGGAACAAGAAGCAAGGTTTTCCTGTGAAGCGAAGAGTTTTGACCCATGGCAGAGAGCTCCTGCTGTTGAGGATGGAGTATTCTTGTTGTGAGCCAAGGAGAAAGGGAGAGAGGAAGCACAAGTGTGTTCACAGGATGCCTTGTGGACGGATGTCAATCTGAATGTTCCTGTAAAAGAGAGAGAGAGACTACAGTGCTTCTGCTCTTGGGACCCAAAAGAGCTAGCAAAAATCTGCCAACACTGGTCTCTCTAAAGAAAATGATGTCCACCAACATGTTGTCTGGAAGCCCTTAAACGAAGAGGGTAAGAGACTCAGCACCAAAGTACGCAGACCAGCATCTTATTACCCACACACCCTGCAACACAAACACCAACGTAACAACACACTAAGGAAAACAAGGAGGAGGCTGCAGAATGTGCTAAACTTTTGGCCAAGAGAATGAAGGAAATCAAAGAAAAACCCCAGAAACAGATTGCCATGAGACGTGGGCTGTCCTCGCTGAGAGCTTCTATTTCTGAGTCCAGCCAAAGTAAGTCTTTAAGAGGAACAGATAAATGATCAGCGCTTGAAAAAAAGAAGAGAGAAAGGATGGGGTCTTCACCTAAATTAACCAGTTCCCTCCAGGGTCAGGAATCTGTGCACAACTCCAAGTGCATCTTAAATCAGTTTTATATGTAAGGCATACAGATCAACAAGCATGGGTGCAGGACCAGCAAATTAATAAAGTGTGGAATGGATAACACGTTCATCTGTGTGGAATCCGGATCTGAGCAAAGGTGCAAGCAACTATCTCAGGCCCTTCTTGGAAAAACCTCTAAGGATACAATTCCTGAGCTAGAACCCAGGACCTTACTTGTTGCTGGTGGGGAGGGGAGGGCAAATTCTGTGGTACCCTAGCCTGAAGTTGTGCTTGCTAGAGAACAAGGATGTTTTGGGATAGAGAAAGAACTCTATAGAGCAAGATAGGACAAGGAATACAAGGAATATAGGCCCGCTGGTAAAGTGCTTGACTTGTAAGCATGAGGACCGGAGTTCAAATCACCGGCACCCAGGTGAGAAACCAGGCACAGTGGCACAGCTAGAATTCCAGTGCCAAGGAGGCAGAGACAGAAGGAGCCCTGGGATTCTCTGACTACGTAGTCTTCTCAAGATGAGCCTGACTTTCAGTGAGAGACTATCTCAAAAAAATACAGTATATAGAGGAAAACACCTGATGCTGACCTCTGGCCTGCACATGCAAACACACAAGCACACACAAACATTCATGCACATGCAAACACATATACTGAAACACACATACATATGCAAACACACAAGCACACACAAACATACATGCACATGCAAACAGACCTAAACACGTATGCACACACAAACACACATGCACATGCAAACATACAACTAAACCTACATGCACATGCAAGCACACAAGCACACATGAACACACACATGCACAAACATACATGCACATGCAAACAGACCTAAACACACATGCACATGCAAGCATACAATTAAACCCACATGCACATGCAAGCACACAAACACACATGAACACACGTATGCACAAACATATATGCACATGCAAACACATACACCCAAACACACATGTACATACAAACACACATGTACAAACACATGCACACTAAAACACACATGCACATGCTTACAACACACATACACACACAAATAAATAATCAAAATGTTGGTATTTTTGATTTTGTTTTGTTTTTACCTTTTCTGACCACTTAAAGAGCCTAGCTATTTTCCCACTCCTACCCTCCCACATCCCAGCAAAGGTAAAATGCTTACATTCTAAAAATCTACTTCCTGGCAAAGGTCTCCTGGACCCTGGAGAAGGGCTGACTCCAGGCTAGGATGGGCAAGCAAGAGAAGCTGGACTTTTGAAATCTGCTAAAGAATGGTGAACACATGTCAAAGGAGCCAGTCTAGACCGGCTTGAAGAGGCACCCGTCACCCGATCTGAGGAACTTTGAGCACAAAATAAACAGAGGTGGTAATATTTTACATTTAGCCCATCTGATAAAATACAAGTCCTTGAGTCAGTACTGATTCTGTACAGAGATCTAGAGATACTAGCTTAATGCAGTGACCTGGCCAGGCATCCCTGAACAGACAGACAGCACGTGTTTCCTGGACTTAGAGCAGCCAAAGGCACCTATGCAGTGTCCTGCCCCCAAAGTTTCACCTGGGTCTACTTGGCAGGAATCAAACAAACACAAACTGAGGCCTGTCTGCCGAACAACCAGCCATACTGCTTTACAAATGTCAGCGTCATGAGAGAGAAAAGACAAATTCAAACAGAGACTGAGAACTGAGGCCAGCTCAAGGGGACTAAGGGCATGTAGCTCCTACAGAGTTTACATTTAACAAACTTCCAACTTATTCATCTAAAATCAAGCAACCTATCCAGGCACAGCGGCACGAGCCTGTAGTCCCAGCACTTAGGAGAAGTGAGGAGAATCTCAAGTTCGAGGCCAGCCTGAGTTGCCTGAGTCTCCTGGTCCAGGGGCTGGGACTGCAGCTCAGTGGTAGAGCACTTTGGCTAACAGGCACAAGACCCGGGTTCTGCCCCTGGTGCCACACAGATGCACACATGGAGTGTCGCATAGCACACACTGTTATAATCTCTGTAATAAGGGCAACTAGTAGCATGTGATGCATATTAAATAGCAATAGTGCACAGACATTAAATCTCTGGACCAGTGAGTTGGCTTGAGTAGGGGGTAAAGGGGCTTGCTGCTAAGTCTGACAACCCGGGGTCTGATTTCCAGGATCTATATCTGCCAGGGATGCAGGTCTTTCTGATTGATTGCTTTTATTTTTTTATTTATTTATATTTTATTTATTTATTTATTTATTTATTTATTTATTTATTTATTTATTTATTTTTGAGACAGGGTTTCTCTATATAGCCCTGACTGTACTAGAACTTCCTCTGTAGACCAGGCTGGTCTTGAACTCACAGAGATCCGCCTGCCTCAGAGTGCTGGGACTAAAGGCGTGTACCGCCACCACGCCACCACCACCCGAGAGGATGCAGATATTCTAAATCGAGGCGGGGGTCCTTCACTTTGGCTGTAGGACTATAGGAACAGTGGATCCCAAGACACTAGAATTGTGTCAGGAATCTCACTTTGGGAGGAGAGAAAACTCAAAGCCTGGGCTGACCAGAGGAGACATTTCTCTCCAGGACAGACGTTCATAACTTGTCAGCCTACCCTAGAGAAGAGACAGTGTTGGATCAGTGGTGTGTGGGGCCATAGCTTGACCCACACTGCTTAGCTGTATAGCCCTGAACCTCTCATCAGGGCCCCTAAGATAAACCTGGAACCCCTGAATCTCTTTGTCCCTCTACCCACCACCGTCATGTAGAATAAATATCATTTTCTGTCTTTTGATGTTAATTGGGCAGCTTTAAATGCCTTATCACTGACAGAGGATTGAATCTGACTTGTTGGGGTACAGTCTGTGTCCCCAAATCTGGTAACAGTAAAAGGAGAGAATTGTCTCCCACGAGACTACTGTGGCACACACACACACACACACACACACACACACATACACACACACACACACACACACACACATATATATACCTTTATACCTCTTATCCGAAAGAAAGAAAGAAAGAAAGAAAGAAAGAAAGAAAGAAAGAAAGAAAGAAAGAAAGAAAGAAAGAAAGAAAAAAGTTTAAGACAGGATCTCACGAAGTAACTTTGGCTGTCCTGGAACTTGTGATGTGGACCAGGTTGACCTGGAACTCAGAGAGATCCACCTGCTTCTGCCCCTAGAGTGCTGAGATTAAAGGTGTACATCACCAAGCCTAGGAAAAATAATTTTTCTTTATTCTTTTAAAGAAGTTCAATTTTTATAATGGTGATGCGGTTGTGCAAAAGGCAATGCAGGCTGGGGGGCGGGGCTGGGGCGGGAGCGAGGGTGAAGCGTCCTGAGTCAGACAGGAAGAGAGAGCAGATGAAGGGTGAAGGAAGTGTGCGTCTTGTCAACAGTTGTAAATGGAAATGAGTTTGCACAGAGCATTCCTACAGGCTTGACATTTTTCAGTGTAAAAATGTGGGGGAAGGGCCGGGCACGTGGCTCAGGGACAGAGCACTTGTCTAGCGCGCGTGAGACTCTGGGTTCACTTCCAGCAATACGAAAAACAGGGGGTGCTGGAGGTTGTTCTGAACTGTCCCCTCTCTAGGAATCGGTTCCCCTCTGTGAATGGGGTGGGGTCGGACACCCCTGGGCTCTGATTGGCTGGGTAGACAATTTATTCCAGGCAGCCAGAAAGTCTTGCGGGGTTTCCTGCAAGAGTTTTTACTGGCTGGCTTTTCTGACTTTGTGATTGTTTGTGCACCTGGGTTTTTCCTGGGGGTCCTGGGGATTGATGTCACTGGTGCAGCCGCTGGTGAGAGAGAGCGGGCCTGCAATCCCATGACTTCTCCAGGCCCTGCTGTTTCCTATGAGAAAAACAAACACAACATCTTCTCATCTCCTCCTTTGTCTGATTAAGGGGGAAATGTTTAAATAATAATCCCCAAGGGCCCAAACATGCTCAGCAAGATAAATAAAACAAAATCTCCTTGTGTTTGTAGTCAGGTCTCCACTTTAAAGCCTGCTGGCTTTGGAACTTGGCTGAGAGATTCACGAAGAATGATGTCAACCAGTTCCCTTGGGGGTGACTGGTGCTGATTTCAAAGGAAGGGGGACTAATGAAGACATCGCAAAAGACAAAGAACCAGCCTTGATAGTGACCATGTCCCTGTGGTGGCCAAGGCCCCATGTAAACATTTCAAAAGCTTTTTGCAAGTTAATAATATCTTGGTTTATTGTGGTTTTCATTTGAGAGAGTTTCACTATGTAGCCTAGAACTCACTGTGTGATCTTTTTTTTGTTTGTTTGTTTTTGTTTTTTGTTTTTTTTTGTTTAGTTTTTCGAGACAGGGTTTCTCTGTAGCTTTGGAGCCTGTCCTGGCACTAGCTCTTGTAGACCAGGCTGGCCTCGAACTCACAGAGATCCTCCTGCCTCTGCCTCCCGAGTGCTGGGATTAAAGATGTGCGCCACCACTGCCCGGCTTCACTGTGTGATCTTGAGTTCATAGAGATCCCCCTGTCTCTGTCTCCCCTGCCTCCTGCTTTCTCTCTCTCT